AACAATAATTTTTGACCACTGGCACTGGCACTATCGAGGAACTTTTCCATGTCGGCGGCATTAATCGAAAATTATCTTCTTTCTTTTTTACCCAGGCATGTATGGGTTGAAACACTCTCACGGCAGGATATAATGTACAATCTTGAACCTACAAAAAAAAATTGCAAACTTTAACCACGACTTACTAATTGCAAAGTTAAGGAAAAATAGCAAAAAAGAATTGTGATTGCAAACAACAAACAACATACGCAAGTTCAAACAAGATTTGCAAAATAATCTGAAAAATGCAAATAGAAAACTGATTGCAAACATGTGTAAAAAGAGAAAAACTAATCTAAAGTCCAATTTATGAGGATTATAGTACAATGTAAACCTAATTGCTAGCAACATAATTCGCAACTCAAGAACGTCAACATACAACAAGCGTTACATTACAAAATAGTTTCAAAGTGAAAACTAAAATTGCAAATAAATGTCTTTTGCAACATACATGCTTCAAAGTGTAAAAAAAGTAGCTTAATAAAAACTGCTTAAGTAAAATTTAAAAGAAATTAATAGCAATTATTAATTGGAGATGAAAACAACAGTTCATCTTACAAATGTAGACATGAACTGCAAACAACTAATACGAACTCCAATTAAGGCCAAACATGAACTGCAAACAACCAATAACAACTTCAATTATAATAGAGAATCGCCAAGTGCAAACTGCAATTAAAAAAAAAAACTAGACTACTAACTTCAACAAACCCTGCAATTTATATCTGATTTCTCGTGGATTCGAATTCATCATCCTCGTTCGCTCGCTGTCTCAAAAAAAAACGGGTTTTTGAATGAGTATTGAAAAAATCGAACAATGCTATGTACATGTAGTTAATAGGAGTATTGTTTACCGAGACGAAATTGTGTTTGAGCCATTGTAGAAATCACAAACCACAGATGAGGAAACAACAACGATGTCTCAAACAACAACGATCTCCAAATACAACCGAGAAAGAAAAAAAAAACTGATT